AACGATCATAACCAACAAAAGTGCGAATAAAATAGATGTTAGCATCATGTACACTATATATATTGAAAGAACAAAAAAAACTGAGCAAATTAAACCTCATTTGAAGATTGAACACATAAGGATCGACTGAAATAGTCTGAATTAATGGTTTATGGTAGAAATAGGAGGAAGAAAGAGAGATGGAATGACATTAGAGGCGTTCATCTTCAGTATCTACAATCAATTAGGATAGTAATACAAAAATTTATCTCCGATTATTTATTTATTTATTTTTTTGTCAAATAGCAAACTTTATTAAATTCGGATTGGAATGTTTACATCTTCAGCAAGAACATTAAATAAAAACTCCGGATCAATAGCATCCCAACGGAAGACACCTCCATGTGAGGCAACATATGAGGCTACAGCATGCGCAGCGGCATTTACTTTCCACTTGACAAACCCAAACCTTACCCCTTGTAATTGAGATACTAACTGACCAATATCATGAATATAGCATTCCAAAAGCGCATCCACCTCATATTTCCCATTAAGCATTGTAATTATCACCTAAGAATCCGACTCAATCTCCACATCCACATAACCCAACTCCAAACAAACCAATAAAGCCGCACGAATAGCTGCAGCTTCCGCCATTGCCGCCGTATTGAAAAACAGTCCACCCTCTCCCCCAGCCACTTGCAACAACCCAGCAAAGTCGCGCATAACCCATCCATAACCACCTTTGCATGTCTTAGCACACCATGCACCATCACAGTTGACCTTCATCACCCAAAAAACTGGCCGCTTCCAGCGTACAGGCTGCCCATCAAACACAGCCCCACCCACGGCCCCCATTCCCCCCAGATTCTTTATTTGCCGCGGAGGTGTAGACTTTAAATTCCAATAGTTGATTCCTTACCAAGTGAACCATCTCCATTGGATCATGTGAAACTTCACGAAAAAGCATGTCATTCCTACTCTTCCATATTTTCCACATAATAAACACACACTCCTGCAGCAACTCATCCTTCCTATCATTTTCATGAAATCGTAGACATAACCCCATCCAAGTCTCAGGATTATTTATTAGTAAATTTCAAATATATTTTCAATTACCATAAATTTGGAAAAATATGTAAATAATAAAATAAACCAAAAGAATGGAACCTTATATAATAAAATAAACCAAAAGTATTAAAAAATAAATAAAAAACAAAAAGAATGGAACCTTATATATGACAACCGGTGCTTGCCGCTTTCATTTACGTCAACTGCACGCAAAGCCTATTTTCATCACTTGGATGCGAGTCAATGTACTAGTCATCAATCATCATATTTATCCTGATTTGTTTATTCATCAAAATAAAACTACAAACAAATACTTGTAAGTAAAACTATTAAACACTATATGCTAATATACATTGTTGATCGTTTTTTACCAGACCTTCTTTGTAAGTGATTCTGAGTTTGATCCTTGTTTCCCACTTCTTTGTTAGTTATTAGGGTGCAGGGTGGGGCTACACCTATATGTTCCTCTCTCTCTCTCTCTCTCTCTCTCTCTGGAGAAATATCATGAACATTAAAAAAAATTAAAAACAAGGAAAGAAAGAGAAAGTCATCACCTTTGCAATGGTTGACTGACTATAATATGGTGAGGGGAATCAACTGGTATGGTTCTCCATGGCAAATTTTGTGCATCCTCGTATATATCTAGAATTGGTCAGGTATCAAGGATTGGATTAAGATAGATAACTTTTAAAATTCCACGTGCATTAAGGGTAGAGAAAAATGATTTTTATTTTCTTATTTGGAAGGGATTGCAGACGGAGTAGACATGAAAGAAACCTCCACCTTTCTCACCATTCCATTTTACGAAGAATTGAATAGGTAAGTATTTTTTATCAATCCATCTCCTACCCACAAGTTGGCTTAATTTTTGTTTTTCTTTCCTTTAACAAACCATGAAAATAGTAACCTATTCGTTTCAATCCAATCCATTACACCAAATGGGACCCTAGCTAACATATCTAACGCAAAGTAGAAACTTCAATTTTATGTGGCTTCAAATTTGTAATGGAAACTGCAACATGTTAAGCAGAAAATGTAGACACCTCCAACATATGAAGCAGAAAATGCAGACACATGGCCTATTTAAGACAAATTTTTTATAAAAGTTTTAGGACGTCATATGTTGCAATCACCGATTTCCGGGCGGTGGTTTCATTTTTTATTATACATTGGTGCATGAAGATGTTTATTTAAACAAGCTTCACAGAAGGAGATGCGCACACATTTTCTTTTGCTAATATTGCTAGAGTCATGGATAAAACCTCCTTGTTTTTGCTGCCTTCGACCATCACACTGTTGGCCATTCCTCATCCTCCTATACAGATGGTACAACTCCGCGTCAACCACCAACAAAACCCCCTCACCCCCTTCGCCATCAAAGCTCCCTATCATCGGAAACTTTCATCAACTAGGATTCCACCCTCATCGCTTACTTCACGCCTTATCTCAACGCCATGGTCCTCTCATGCTTCTCCACTTTGGACGTGTCCCGGTCCTTGTAGTCTCTTCATCTGAGGCTGCCCGCGAGATCATGAAAACCCATGATCTCACATTTTCTGACCGACCCAAGTCCACCAGCGCTGAGAAACTCTTCTACAACTGCAACGATGTTGCATTTGCTCCTTATGGAGAATACTGGAGGCAGGTGAAAAGAGTATGTGTCCTAAATCTTTTGAGCAACAAAAGGGTTCGCTCTTTTTGCTCGGTGAGGGAAGAGGAAACCAAATCCATGATCAGCCACATAGAGCAATCATCATCATCTGTTTTGAATTTAAGTGAAATGTTTGTGCGGCTTACTAATGACGTGGTATGTAGAGTGGCTCTGGGGAGGAAGTACGGTGGCAGAGATGGTGAGAGGACGTTTAAGCAGCTTTTGGGGGAGTTTGGAGAGTTAGTGGGGACTATCGATTTCGGGGACTATGTTCCATGGCTTTCTTGGTTGAGTCATGTCAACGGTTCAAAGCAAAGTTGGACAAGGTGGCTAAGCAGCTGGATGACTTTATAGACGGAGTTATTCAAGAACATATGAACTATAGTTCAAAGAGTGGAGATGATGAGCAAAAGGATTTTGTGGACGTTTTGCTTGGGATTCAGAAAGGAAACTTGACTGGTTTCCCTATTGATACAGTTACTATAAGGGCTCTCATCCTGGTAACTCTGTATCTCTCTCTCTTATATATATAATTATATATATATATATATTATGTTAGAGGTTTATATATATATATATGTATATGTCAGAGGTTAATATCTTAATCAACATAAATCATTCATGTAGGATATGTTTGCTATTGGCACTGATACAACATGCACGATGGAATTAGAGGCAACGGTGGATTAACCATGTTCCACGATAGATGGAAGTTGGGGAACACTTACTCTATAAAAAGGATTCCCTGCTCACAGAGAATTTCTTTTTCGATTTGGGACTATCACCATAAGAATATTCAGATCTCTAGTGAGTAGAAGAGTCCCTTTGAAACACGACCATGTCTTCTGCAGGTTAGCTTCATCTATGTAATTAACAACTATGATGTGTTCTAGGGTTCAATGTTAGAAAATATTTGATTTATTCCAACATTTGGTATCACAGCAGACTAAAATGCCCTGGAACCAATATGTTTGTGTTTAATTTTTTCTGTATGATGAGTTCTGCAATTTTAAATTCATATCATCATGCACTTTTTGCATTATTTAAGTTGTTTAAATTATATATGTCATTCTCTGGTGATGAGATTCATGCAACGTCCACATTTTTCTCAAAAGAAAGTATGTATGAGCAGGCAAGATATTTAAATCACGCATGGTGTCTTTGTTCAGCATAAACTCTTGTCCAAAGGCCTGAGATATAAGTATGAAAAGATTATCCTTTAATGGCAGTCTGTACCTCTTGCTCATAAGTGTGGTACAAACATGCATTGGTTAGTTACTAACAATAATTAGATGTCTTCTGCAGCCATGAATTTCTCTTCGATTGAGCCTTTAAGTGGAGGAAATTTCAAGAAATGGAAGCAAGACATCGAGATTGTCCTGGGCCTGATCGACCTCGAGATTGTCCTGTGCACCAACTGTCAAAAGTAGAAAACCAGATAAGGACAATTAATGGACTATAAGAGCATTGTCATATTGCTTTATTAATTTGTCATGATGTTGAATTTTACAGACAGAACCAAATGTATTTATTCTGATGTGGCTATATATCGATGAACGTTGAATCGTTCAAATCTTGCACTACCGATGAATGTTGAATACTTTTTTTCCGTATTAGTATTCCACAAGGGTAATGATCCTCGAGTTTCTTTCTGTGGAGCTTGATAATAGTTCTGCATGTTTCTCTATCTGTCACTTATTTTTGGGACCACAGCGTGTATCATCATCCGTTACTACACGGCCAATCAGAAAAGAAGATGAGGATTTGTCTGGCATATTTCTGTTAGTAAAACAAGGTGGAAAATCTGAATGGTATAAAGTAATTGAGGTGGCTTCCTTGCCGATTGACGACTAGTAGGTGCCACCGAAAGCAAATCTCAGTATATTGAAATTGATTACGACAACTAGGGGCGCCATACCAGAAACTCTGATGCACTAAATTTTGGTTTCCAATGGCTCTACTTCAATTGCTAAAGGAACACTCTTTGCTTCTTGCATTCAGTTTCCTCATATTGTTGCTCAAGTTTATCTTTGAGGGTAAGTGACGGAAAAGAAAACTCAAACTTCCACCAAGCCCTCCGAAGCTACCTGTCATTGGTAACCTTCACCAGCTGGGAAAAAACCCCTCACCTATCTCTTTGCGGATTGGCAGAGCAGTATGGCCATGTTAGAGAAGAAGTTGCTCGTCTGGTTTGTCGGGTTGCAGAGTCTTATCCTGGCACCACCAATCTGACCAAGATATGCTTGCTGGCTCAGTCACTGATCTACTTCTCATACAGAGCACGCACGCAATCTTCTTATTGAGGCACTCTGGCTTCCAAAATTGTTGTCCTTGGCAAATCTATTCTCTGGTGAACCAGTACTGCAAAATGTTGTACCTTGATATTCAATCACGTGCTTCAAGCACAAGTGTTTAACCTCAGAGGCTCAGAGCGACCATATATCCTGAAGATAATGTCCGAATTGCTGAGGACCAAGAAACAAGGCATCATGAACAAGTTAATCAACACATTATATGTTAAAGGTTAACATGTTAATCAACACATATCATGAACAAGTTGCAGACTGAGGTACGAGGAATAGTCGGTAACGGAGCACACATAACAGAGGATGATTTGGTAGAAATGCACTACTTAAAGGCGGTGGTTAAGGAGACTTTTCGCTTGCATACACCAGTTCCATTACTGGTGCCTAGGTTGTCGACCCAAGATGTGGAAATAGGTGGTTACAAAATCAAATCCAAGACATAAGTGGTGATCAATGCATGGGAAATAGCAAGAGATCCCGAGTTATACAAAAAACCAGAGGAGTTCGAGCTAGAAAGGTTCCTGAATAGAGGGATAGATTATAAAGGGAATGACTTTCAGTTGATTCCGTTTGGAGCTGGTAGGAGGGTCTGCCCAGAAATTCAGTTTGCCATAGCTGTTAATGAGATTGCCTTAACAAGTAACGTGCACAAGTTCCATTGGAAATTGCATGGTGGAGCGAGCGGGGAGGATTAAATGCTTAAAAGTTAAGTGCACTGCTAAAAATTGGAGGCACATTCTTGTAAATTTTCGACGCCAACTGCTGAGCAAAGACAAAGTCAAATCTTGTGTGCGCGCGCGAGCTTGCTCTTGTGACATAAACATAAACATTATGTCTCCATAAAAATTAGGGTGTGATATCCATACACCCCTTTTCACTTCTTACATATCTTGAGTTAATTTTTGTCCTTGGATCTTCTTCAATTTATCCGATTCGACAGCAGAAAATTGGAAGGGAGTGCTTGGATATTACACCCCTAAAAAATATCATCAGAGGTGATATTTTTTAAATTTAAGCTTGATGATATCACCTTCAGATACGAGTTTACATCAAATAGCTTTTCTCTGATCAAACTACAGGATTCGTATGCGTTCCAGTTTTAGTTGGAAGGCTGGGCGTGTGAAGATGTCGATGATATCTGCTGCCGAGGACGACATCTGTTTTATCTATAGTTTCATTACGTAAGCAAAAACACGAAGATATGTAAAGATCATGAAATCTGTGACCTACTTAAGAATATCCAAAAGATCTTTGTATATTTACAAATCCAAGCAAAAATAAAAGTCCAAGTTTCATAAAATTCGTCGACATCTGATTTTTCTACAATCTTGTGAGGTGAATCCAAGATCTCTGTCACAAATAATGTAGTTACAAGGTCAATGTCAGCAAGTTGGAAAAGCTTTCAAGTTGTCTAGAATTGGTGTGGTCTACATACGGACAATTCAGCCTTTACGTTGTTTGCTTTTGGGATGATCCTATTCCGCACGATACCAAGACCTAAGATCTGTATTTAAACAACAAACAGACACAATTTCCTTCAGTTTCCTAATTAAAACACTTGTTACTGATTCAAAAAGAAGAATTAAGATGCTAAGACATCTCTTACAAATGCTACAACTGCTTGGAACCTCCGACTTGTTGCAGCCTGTTTCCTTCGCGCTCATGGCCATTTTCCTAATCCTCCTATACAAATGGTCCTCTGCTAGTGCAACCACCGCCAACAACTCCTTACCGCCATCTCCACCAAAGCTCCCCATCATTGGAAACTTTCACCAATTAGGCTTGCACCCACATCGCTCACTTCTAGCCTTATCTAAACGCCATGGCCCTCTTATGCTTCTCCATTTCGGAAGTGTCCCAGTCCTTGTTGTCTCTTCGGCTGAGGCTGCCCGTGAGATCATGAAAACCCATGACATCGCATTTTCCGACCGACCCAAGTCCACCATCTATGAGAAGCTTGCCTACAACTACAAAGACATGGCAACAGCCCCTTATGGTGAGTACTGGAGGCAGATGAAACTTATATGTGTTTCAAATCTTTTGAGCAACAAAAGGGTTCGCTCTTTTCATGCTGTGAGAGAAGAGGAAACCCAGCACATGATCAACAAAATAAAGGACTCTTGTTCTATATTATCCTCTTCCTCCTCATCATCATCAGTTCTGAATTTAAGCGAAATGTTTTTGACGCTTACCAACGATGTGATATGTAGAGTGGCTCTAGGGAGGAAGTACAGTGGTGAAGAAGGTGGGAAGATGTCCAAGGAGATTATAAAGGGGTTCATAGAGTTATTGGGAACTATGGATATCGGGGATTATATCCCATGGCTTTTTTGGTTGAGCCATGTCAATGGTTTGCATGCCAAGATAGACAAGGTTGCTAAGCAATTTGACGACTTTCTAGAGAGTGTGGTTCAAGAGCATATCGATCAGACGCATGTCGAGAACAAGGAACAAAAGGATTTCGTGGATATTTTGCTTGGGATTCAGGAAGGAAGCTTGGCTGGTTTTTCTCTTGATAGAGTTGGCATAAAGGCTCTTATCTTAGTAAGTCTCTATATTTGCATCTGATTTGCATATGCATGTGACATTTACATATACTTGGAACTAGAAAGTTTACTATAACTGCTTGTAAACGTTGACAAAATGACGGAACAAAAAATGAGCTACTGAATCACAAGAGGATGATTTTACCTGATCAGCCTAAGTTTGGTAATTGTTCATGTAGGATATGTTTCTTGGAGGCTCTCATACCACATATACAGTGCTAGAGTGGGCAATGACTGAGCTTTTGAGGCATCCGAGGATCATGAGCAAATTGCAGAATGAGGTACGGGGAATGGTCGGAAACATAACAGACATAATTACAGAGGATGATTTGGTAGGCATGCACTACTTGAAGGCAGTGATCAAGGAGACTCTTCGCTTACATACTCCAGCTCCATTACTAGTTCCCAGGGTGTCGACGCAAGATGTGAAAATAAATGATTACGACATTAAGGCCAAGACACTTGTTATGATCAACGCGTGGGGAATCGGAAGAGATCCTGAAATGTATGAAAACCCAGAGGAGTACGAGCCAGAAAGGTTCTTGAATAACAGTCTAGACTATAAAGGGAATGACTTCCAGTTCATTCCATTTGGAGCTGGCAGGAGGATCTGCCCGGGAATTCAGTTTGCAATATCTATAGATGAGATTGTTCTGGCGAATATCGTGCACAAGTTCAACTGGGCATTGCCCGGTGGAGCAAGTGGCGAGGGTTTTGACCTGACTGAATCAAATGGTGTAACTGTAAACCTAAAGTATCCTCTCAAAGCTGTTGCTCTTCCTTATTTAGGTTGAAAGATAGAGGCTACATTGTCTATGTACGCGGCCCATGTATTTTATGTCTAACGTAAGGCTCTAAGCCTTCTACCGTCACCTATTATGTTCGCCTTGTCTGTCGCTATTGCCAAATAACTAGCACATGCAGTGCCAGAGTATTATGTGTGTGAATGTATGTTTTTTTTTTTTTTTAACAAACGATATTATCTACACTAAAGAAGTGGGGGAGTAGACTAAGCCTCACGCTGACTATAATAATGTGGTTCAAATTTGTCTTTGGCGAAAATCGAACCTAAGACCTTTCACTTACAAGTGAAGAGGAATACCACCAGACCGTAGTACTAAGTGGCGTGTAACTGAAGGAATTTAAGAAACCACTTACAGTTTATATTGGAGAGGGAAAGCTCCCTTGTTGATACAAATTGACAGCACGTAGGGTGGGACGAAAATCCATTATTCCGAACCCTGATCGTCGTCTCTTGTGCACCAATTGTCAAAAGTAGAAAACCAGAAAGGACAATTAATGGACTATAAGAGCATTGTCATATTGCTTTATTAATTTGTCATGATGTTGAATTTTACAAACAGAACCAAATGTATTTATTCTGATGTGGCTATATATCGATGAACGTTGAATCGTTCAAATCTCGTGTTGGGAAAAAAAAACTTAGAGTACACAACTCTAACACAAGTGTTGGAGAGACAACACAAGTAAACAAATTACTTGTATTACACAAACAAATATTACAACACTCTCAAAGGACACTCTTAAGAACAATGACACTCACTCACTTTCTAGAGACAAACTCTAGAGCACTCACACTCTTACAAGACTACTTACAAGGCTTCCCACTCTCTTACTTAGCTCTTCTGAATTGATTGGTTGCTTGTTGATTTGTTGATACAAATGGTGTGGATGCCTTCTCCTTTTATAGGCATGGATGAAACCTTGGAGAAGCATGGACACACCATGCTAAAGATATCTAGATAATTCCACTAACTTCCTAAGCTAGAATTATCTACACTAATCTTGCATGTTGGTGGAAACCTCACCATTCTTCTAGACTCTTCCACCAACTTAAGAAACAACATTCTAGTCATTTCTACAAAGTACTACTTTAACTTGGATAATCTAGCTAACCAACCTTAGTGAATGTTCTAGAATTCTTTATTCTAGATTTGTGTAGGTCCTTTAATGAGATGGGGTCGATTTCTTTAACACTCCCCCTCAACACCATCTCATTCTTCTCTCTACGCTGGGTTGACAACGCTTCATCTTGAACACCCATTTGTATGAGATGGGTTTCACATAGTTTGATATTTCTTTAACACAGTATCCTCTTCGCCCAGATGTATGCCACTCGGAATTCTGTGATGCTTCTTTACACATCTTAGCTTCAACTGCTTCTTCTACTATGGTTGCGGTGGCGTATTTGAGATTTGGCTTCAATATTCCTGTCGACTTCCTTAGTTGTGAATGTGGAGTTGATACTTCCACTTCACTAGATCTAACTTCTTCAGTTTTCTAATGACTCTTAGGTACTTCTTGCTTGACATCGTTACCATCAAGCAATTCCTCGAGCTCATCTGGACTCGGTTGGATTTGGGCAACTTGGTCTCCCATTTTCTCCTGCAACATATCTTTAATCTCTCTTGAGTTAGGCAACACTTCATTTTCTAAGCACCACCAAGAAGATGCTTCAGCATCCCATTGTTCATCCATAGCTAGATATGCTACGGTGTCCCAATCATCTTCACTTTTCTTCTCTGAGTTGGCGACGTTACTCTCTGCAGGCCTTTTGAACCAGCAATCCTTTGCCATGTGGCCATTCTTTCCACAATTGTAACACTTGCCCTCAAATCTTTTATTATTCTAGGACTGAACATGGTTGCCGTGATACTTCGGAGCTCCCCCTGGCCGAGAACTCCCTCATTCTTGATGACCTCTTTCCTTGTCACCATTTCTTTTAGATCCACCACCAGCACGCTGCTTAAAACTGCCTTTACTTTTGGTGTAGAGCGCTTCCTCCTCACCTTTTAACGAGATCCCTCCCATTTGCTTTGCCAAAGCTTCTTGATCGGCAAGCAAATTCTCAAACTCAACAAGTGATGGTTGGGTCGGCCATCCTTGTATAGCGGCAACGAAGCCTCGATATTCGGGTCTCAATCCATGGATAATTATTCTTTTTATCCTGGATTCTACAATGGCAGCACTAGGATCTAATTCAGAAATTTCACGACAAATAGACTTTACCTTGTGGAAATATTGCGCAATCGTCATGTCCCTTTGGGCCACTGATAACAACTCGTTCTCGAGAAGCTGCAGTCTTGTATCGTTCCTCTTTGAAAAAAGTGTGGCGAAGGTGTGCCATGCTTCTTTTGGTGTCTTGGCCTTCCGTATGTGCTCTAACATGTCATCTTCAACTGTAGTTTTTAAGGCAAACAGGCCTTACCTGCCTTGATCTTCCACTTCCTCAAAGCGCCGCTGGTGTCTTCTTCTGGCTGCGTAACTTCATTACTGCCGACGACATCCCAAAGATCTTGGCCTTGTAGGTAAGACTCCATACATGTCGCCCACGTGTTGTAATTTTTGTTGTTCAACTTCTTGATTGCTCCAACAACTTGAAGATCTCCTATCGTGTCGGCAGAGCTTCAATAAGCCAAACAAGATTAACGAATAATCTTGCGAAGTACTAAACTTCTCACGATTCTCAAAAGCTTCAATAGAGACAGTCCCTGATCGTACCGCTCTGATACCAATTGTTGGGAAAAAAAACTTAGAGTACACAACTCTAACACAAGTGTTGGATAGACAACATAAGTAAACAAATTACTTGTATTACACAAACATATATTACAACACTCTCAAAGGACACTCTTAAGAACAATGACACTCACTCACTTTCTAGAGACAAACTCTAGAGTACTCACACTCTTACAAGACTACTTACAAGGCTTCCCACTCTCTTACTTAGCTCTTGTTAATTGATTGGTTGCTTGTTGATTTGTTGATACAAATGGTGTGGATGCCTTCTCCTTTTATAGGCATGGATGGAACCTTGGAGAAGCATGGACACACCATGCTAGAGATATCTAGATAATTCCACTAACTTCCTAAGCTAGAATTATCTACACTAATCTTGCATGTTGGTGGAAACCTCACCATTCTTCTAGACTCTTCCACCAACTTAAGAAACAACATTCTAGTCATTTCTACAAAGTACTACTTTAACTTGGATAATCTAGCTAACCAACCTTAGTGAATGTTCTAGAATTCTTTATTCTAGATTTGTGTAGGTCCTTTAATGAGATGGGGTTGATTTCTTTAACATCTCGCACTACCGATGAATGTTGAATACTTTGTTTCCGTATTACTATTCCATAAGGGTAATGATCCTCGAGTTTCTTTCTGTGGAGCTCGATAATAGTTCTGCATGTTTCTCTATCTCTCACTTATTTTCGGGACCACAGCGTGTATCATCATCCGTTACTACACAGCCAACCAGAAAAGAAGATGAGGATTTGTCTGGCATATTTCTGTTAGTAAAACAAGGTGGAAAATCTGAATGGTACAAAGTAATTGAGGTGGCTTCCTTGCCGATTGACGACTAGTAGGTGCCACCGAAAGCAAATCTCAGTATATTGAAATTGATTATGACAACTAGGGGCGCCATACCAGAAACTCCGAGGCACTGAATTTTGGTTTCCAATGGCTCTACTTTAATTGCTTAAGGAACCCTCTTTGCTTCTTGCATTCAGTTTTCGCATATTGTTGCTCAAGTTTATCTTTGAGGATAAGTCGCGGAAAAGAAAACTCAAACTTCCACCAAGCCCTCCGAAGCTACCTGTTATTGGTAACCTTCACCAGCTGGGAAACAACCCCTCACCTATCTCTTCGCGGATTGGCAGAGAAGTATGGCCATGTTAGGAAGAAGTTGCTCGTCTGGTTTGTCGGGTTGCAGAGTCTTATCCTGGCACCACCAATCTGACTAAGATATGCTTGCTGTATTACGTTCAGCTATTGCGTTCAGAACAACAACCTTTGAGCTTGCTTTAGTTCAACTTCTGCATAGCTTGGATTGGGAGCTTCCTCCGGGTATACAGCTAAAGATTTGGACTTGGAAGAAATTTTTGGTATCACAATGCACAGGATAGCCAATCTGATTGTCGTTGCCAGACCGCGGTTTCCGTGAGACGAGAAGACTCACGCATTGCCCTTTGCCTATATCTCAGAAGCAGACTCCTAAAGTAAATGGAAGAAAGAACAAGATGATTCCCTGCTTGCCACGGCATGCGTAAGAAGTTATTCAAGTTCTGCGCAATATATAATGATTGATAAAAAGAAAATTATTAATAGCAGAATTCACAGGACAAATACATTGCTAGGCCAAAAAACCGCTACGAGAGAAAAAGAAGAGAAAAAACTAGTACTAGACTAGAACGTGTTTTACAAGGCTTAACTGTCCGACAAATTTTGCTGGCTATCTTGTTTGAGTTAATATTTGAACATTGGGCTATAAGTGTGAGAAAGCTCAGAGATGCCAATTAGAAGAAGACTTGCTTGAAGCCTAGCACCAGGTCCAGAGACAAATTGGTGTCTCCCCATTAATGCATATACCATGTGCCTATGATTTAAATAACAAGTGATGGAGGCTAACTCACAATCAGCCAAAAAGCACTTTTCAGTGGCAATACAATTAAAAAGTTGATGACTCAATACTTTTCAGATGCTTTCGGGTAAGAACAAAGTTGCAACAGTTGGGCTAATTGGCCTATCAAAGGAGGAAGAGGCCCCAGAGACAAAGACACTCAACCAATCAAACAAACAAACATACAAACTCTGCTCTCAAGCCAGATTTGCATCCAAAAGCTGAAATCAACCCAAATGTAGTCCTTTTAGGACAAGCTATCTCTTTCTTTAGTTTAAAAGCTTTACTATCTCCTTCAGTGGTGTAGTATCGATTCCTTTATGTAAACTTGTTTACCATCCATCCCTTTCTAGCCTACAAACCCCTGTAATCACAAAAATAAGTGACTGCAAGAAGTTCAACCTTGACAGACAAAGTGAAATCTTGCCCGAAACTCTTTGTTTGTTCTCTAAATTTGTAGATCTATTACGTAATGCATTCTCCAATATGTATTCAAGTCATATTCACCTGTTTTCCAACTTTAAGAGTCTCATTTGCATTTGGATCTGGTTAGTTTAATGGATATGATATATTAAAATCAATCAAGAACCAAGCAAATGGCTAAATGGCTTAAAGGGGATCTGGACTCCCTTCATTCGAACATACAAGACTATGAACTAAAAGTCCTTGTTTACAAGGCAAGAAAAAGAACTTAATGTGGACTTCTATCCACGACAATCCTTTGATAACAAGAAGTCCGAGTAACTTGGGGCGCAAGTAATTGACTTAAAACACACTTGTTCTACATCTGCTATATTGAGATAGCAGTGACACGCCTAGCACTCAGTTAGTTTTGATTGCGAGCATCAAGGCCTACACCTAGCCCCACAAAGGTACATTTCAGAACTAACTTTGTCCTCTTTTTGTAGCACATCAACAAGCAAGAGCCTAACTACACATCCAAAGTGTCAATCCCTTGGGGAGCTGTGCTGAGATGCCGATGACCCTTCTCCACGGAAATCTTCACCACCAACAGATCTACTTCTCATGCAGAGCACGCACGCAATCTTCTTTTCGAGGCACTCTGGCTTCCAAAATTGTTATCCTTGGCAAATCTATTCTTTGGTGAACCAATACTGCAAAATGTTGTACCTTGATATTCAATCACGTGCTTCAAGCACAAGTGTTTAACCTCAGTGCGACCTTATATCCTGAAGATAATGTC